GACGCGGGCGCGCTGCACGCGCCGCTCGAGTGTGCTTCGGAGGAGCCCGGCGCCGACGCGGACGGGCGACACGGCGCCGCGTGGCACTGCGTGCTGCTAGGAACCTTCTAGGAACCTTCTAGGAACCTTCTCGGGACCTTCTCCTAGGCGCCGCGTGGCACTGCGTGCTCGTCCACGACGGCCGCCGGCAGGGCGCGTGCGAGGTGCACGTGCGCGCGCCGCTGCAGCTGGGCAGCCCCGCTGTCGGGCCGGCGCGGCTCGAGTACCAATGGCTGGTTAGGAGTGACGGATTGCGAGTTAGGGAACCTGCTGTCGGGCCGGCTCGGCTTTGAGCTGCGCGGCCAGGGGGGCATCTTGCGCGGGGAGCTGCCTTCGGGCGGGCGGAGGCTGGTGCACACCTTTGCGCCCGCCACGGCGGTCAGCCTCTCTGTAAGCATCGAGGGGTACAGGCCCTCGGAGCGGGTCCTCGTGGCGGCGCCGCACACCGCTCTCGAGGGCGGGACGGCCCGAGAGCCCCCGAGAGCCCCCGAGAGTGCCCGAGCCTAGGCACCGCACACCGCGCTCGAGGGCGTGCTCTGCGAGGAGGTGCCCGTGTACGACGGCCGCCGCAGCCGGCTGCCGCTCTCGATCGGGTACGCGCGGCTGCACGGCTGCGTGCACCTTCTAGGAACCTTCCAGGGACCTGCTAGGAGCCTTCTAGGTACGAGCGGCTGCACGGCTGCGTGCACGCTCTCTCGCTCGTCGCGCCGTGTTGGGTTTCCCGCAGCAGCCGGCTTGCTGCGGCGTCACGGTGTCCTTGACTGACGGCTGGTGAGTGCTCGGCTAGGTCTCCAACTGCACCGGCCTGCCCCTGCTGCTGCGCGAGCACGGCGCGAGGGAGGCGTACTGCGGCGACGAGCCGGCGGTCGTCTGCGAGACGGTGTCCGAGAACCAGCGCCGCCGCACGGCCTTCAACTCCTTCTCGGCGGACGGCCTCTTCCCGACCGACTTTGCCGGCGCCGTCTCACACGAGCCTCCCTCCCGGAAGAGTGCCGCTTGCTCACCGCCTCTTCCGAAGGAGCGAACAGGCGCCTTCTCCGACGAGCGGCTCAGCAGGCGCCCCTCCGGCCTTAGGGCTGGGCGACGGAGGAGGAGCTGCGCCCGACACGCGGTGAGAGGGCCCGTAGGCGCCACTCCGGCTTGGCGGACCTCTGGCTGCCGACAGGCTGGCTGTGGATGGAGGACGGGCGGATCGAGGGGGGGGGGTCGGGGCGGGCCCGAGAGCACCCGAGATCACCCCGAGGCTGCACCGCGGCGTGTAGGACTGGCGGCTCAAGGGCGGGAAGACGGGCTCCGTCACCGAGCAGGGGTGGGAGTACGCCAAGGGCTGGAGCGGCGCGTGGTCGCCTCAGTGCACGCCCAAGACGGGCGTGCGGCGGCGGCTCTGGACGCGCCGGCGGGTCCGCCTCTCCGGCCTCACGCGCCACCTGCTTGGCGGCATGTCGGAGAACGCCGTCCGCCGCCTTTCCCTCGCCGAGCTGCAGCAGGCCGGCGGCCGAGATGCGCCGACATGCGCCGAGACGCGCCGAGACGCGCCGACATGCGCCGACATGCGCCGAGATGCGCCGAGATGCGCCGACATGCGCCGACATGCGCCGACATGCGCCGACATGCGCCGACATGCGCCGCGAGATGCGCCGCGAGATGCGCCGCGAGAGAGACGCGCCGAGATGCGCCGAGACGCGCCGAGATGCGCCGAGATGCGCCATTGCCCCTCGCCGAGCCGCAGTTCGCCCTCGAGACGAGATCACCACCCCGTCCACTCTCGGCTGATCTCGGCGCGCCTCGAGCCCAGGTCATGCAGACGCTCGGGGAGCCCGCGCAGCGCGGCGCCGACGAGCTGCGGCAGTACTGCATGGAGCTGCGCGCCCGCGCGCAGGAACGCGGCGGCGCGGAGCCGGACGAGGCGGCCGGCGCGGCGGCGGCGCCGGTGATGCCGCCCGTGACCGCGAGGAGAAGCCTCTCGCGCTGCGGCTGCCCGGCTCGCCAGCGGTAGAGGGCATGGGCGGTGAGTCTTCGCTGATAGGAAGCGGCTCGAGCTGCGGCTGCCCGGCTCGTGCTGGTCGAGTGCCGTCTCGCTCGAGGCGGCGGGCCCGTCCGTGCTGCTCCTTCTAGGAGCCTTCTCGGAGCCCGTCTCGGGTCCTTCTCCTAGGCGGCGGGCACGTCCGGGCTGCTCGAGCTGCCCGCGGGGCGGGAAGGCGGGTCGGCGCCGAGCGACGGCGGCCCTCCGCGCGCGTACCAGCTCGCCCTGGGCGTCACGTCGGCGCCGGGCGAGTCGTGCCGCTCCAAGATGCTCGTGGTGGAGCACCGCACGACGCTGCTCAACCGGCTCGACCGGCCGGTTGGCTACGTGCACCCACGCAAGGGCGGCCACACTGC